CACTGGGGGTTGCTGCTGCTACACTGGAACATGTAGCACTTTTGCTGCCGAAGTTCTTAATGCACTTTCAGTCTCGTTAGTGCTCCATGGGAGTTTATTTTGATGAGTTCAGCTTTCCCAACGTTCTTCTACACTTTGAGTATCTTCCTATTGCTTCCTCCTTCACAGTTGTCTGTTACACTGAAGTTACCTTCATTGGAGATTTACCTTTCTAACAGTAAGTCGAGTTCCAGGTCCGTACCGCCTTTGCCTGTTTCCCAGCCTTGTTTTACACTTGGCCTTGGACGTACCTGGTACTTGTGAGACAGCAGCAGTGATTTAGGAGTGACTCTTCTTCATTCTAATGAGCCCTCAAAAAATATCAGAAGAAATGATAAGGGTGAAATTTTCACATTTCAAAGAAAGTATATTTATTTTCAAAGCTTCTGTTCATTAGTAATGCTTCAGAACTGGATAAGAAACAGCTGTTTTTTCCTGAGGAAGGCATCTTGGACTTGATAAAGGAATCAACTGGATGCCAGTGTAGATACCCTGCTTAAAGATTGCCCCTTTGCTATTCTTAGAGATGTTAGAAGAATAAGATTTTCTTATTTAGTGTTGGAGAATTCTGTTTGACTGCATTAGGTACATGTCTTTACATCTAGGCAATCACCAGGATAGAGCTGTTGTCATGGTTTTGTGTATACTTTATTGGCTTTTGTGTTTGCTGGAGACTAATCGTTATATTCTGATGGAGATAAAATAGTAGCTCTCGTGTTTGTGCAGCTTGAAGTCCCGTTACTGTCCATGAGCCCTTCATTTTACATAGGACAGAAGCCAAAGCACTGTACAGAAGTTAGGAAGTACGAGCCTTAAATCTTCCAGTCAGCTAAGGGGTGTTAAAGGGAGAAGTTTACCTTCATTTAAAATCCCAAACTGGGTATTTCGTAGACCAGCTACAGGAGCGGTGCAGTGACATCTTCACTGCTGCCTTGGGTAGTTTTTGCCAGAGACAAACTTATGTTTGTGGCTGTAGATACTGAAATTTTATTTCCAAAATTGCCTATGTTGAGCAGGCTAGAAGAGGGCTTGGAATGGTAACAGATTAAAATGAGGCATCATTTTCCTCTGTGCAGCAGCTGATCCTGGGTGGTGGCATTGTGTGTCCCGTGTGACTCTGGCAGTGGGGTTTGGGCTGTGCTGATGGAGCTGCCCCGTGTCCCCCCTGGCCACTCTGGACCCCAGGTGCTGCTCCGGCAATAGTGACCCCCTTCTGATGACAGCCCCGATCCCCGGGGGTTGCTGGGGTTTATCATCCCAATTTGCTGTATTTTCCATCCTTCCTGTTGCCTGATCCTGCCTTCTGGGTTGTTTGTGCACCGCTGGGCCCTACGCACTGCCTTTGGGAAGGTTTGTATTTACAAGCTGCGATGCAGCGCTGTTGTCTTAGGCTTTGCCCGACCCTAATTGCTGTGACACATGTAACTAATGATGGTTTGTACTTTCAAGGAGCGCACTAAAAAGGTGATGACATATGAGTTACTGAATAAGGTACTTGTGCAACTCGTGCAGGAGAGTTTGTGCAGACCTTTTGCAGCACAAAGAGCAGTTTTCCTGTGGCCGTGGCTGTCCCCGTGGCCTGGCCTGTCTCCAGCGCCGCGCTGGGGGAGCAGCAGAGCTCCCACCGCCGCTCCGATGGAACAAGGCTGATTGATCAGGCTTTGATTTGATTCTCATCACTGGCGGCCAATGGGTATGTGTGAGGAAGCTGAAAACGGGTGTAAAATTAACAAAAATAATAATAAAGTTTCAGATTGCCCTTTTATTTTTGTTTACTCTTCGACCGCACTCTGATTTATGCTTATTGGAGTCTTTGAACTTCAACTCCCTTGAAGAGTCTCCCGTCCCTGGGGGTTTTGATGTTGCTGCGGGGGCTGTGTGTGTGCGGTGCCTGCGCCCCCCGCTCTGGGGCTCTGGGCAATCTCACTCCCGAGCGCTTCCCTTCCTTTGTTTAACCTATGACCTGTGAAAACAAGAGTTAATCAAAAGTTCTGAGGTAGCTAAGAGGAAGGGGAAGTGTTTGGTTACAAATTAAATATGAGCAAGTCATAAGCCATAAATCTTCAGTAGTGCTACCAGTTGTGCTGCTTAAGTTGCATGTGGTACAGAGAGTTTTTGGTTATAAATTCAACCTCCGTTTCTTTGGAGGGGGTGTTTAAAGGCTGTCTCGAGGATTTGCTTTTTGTAAGAAAAAAATCCACATCTTGTCTCTTTTCCTTTTGCCTGAAATCTAGAAACAAATTCAGATAACTACATTTCTTGATTTTCTTAATTATTTTTTTTTTTCTCCCAATTTTACCTGGTCACAATTTGATCTAATAAAACCAGAACTGGTTCATTCTTGAGTAGTAAACACGTGGAATAAGTGATGATGTAAAAGTATTGAAGATGGCAGGATAAATTAGTTTTCTAATGTATCCAAAGCTTTCAGGATGAGAGAGATCCTGAATTCCGCAGTGACAAAGGAGGGAGGTGAAAATTGAAATGAGGTTGTCTGCATAATTTACACAGTTTTGTGGCAGTTTGTTTGTTTTATCTCATCTTGCACCTCTGTTGAGCTGGAGATACACAGTTCCCCGTGTATCGTGTTGGGTTGAGGTCTACTTCAAATATCAACTAATTTCCTCACCTTCAGAACTGTGAAGCTTCTCTCCTCAAACGGAAAGTTATTCGTAAAACAAGACAAAAAGAAAAAGCAGTTGTGCGGAGATTCTAAACCATTATTTGGAAAACATGGATTAAAATAAGGAAGAGTTAGTGTTAAACAGAGGATGACAGTGAAGTTCATCATCAGATACCAGTGAGGAGAAAAGGGTCAGCTGAGGAGTGAGTGTAGCAGAACAGGGCTGTCCTGCCCTTTGCTGGGATGGAGGGGCTGTTGATGTTCCACATGGAGTGAATATGAGACTTTATCTGGGCTATTTTTATTCGAATCGTAGAAGCTATTTTGTGGATGCTACTCAAAAGCATTAAAATGGGGTTTGGCTGGAGGATTCTCATGGACAGAACCTACAGGTTTGTCACGTTTGGGGTATTGCCATAATAAAGAAAAGTGCCTTGAATCCGCAGTGAGGTGAGGTTTAGCTGTGACCAAACCGGCCCCGACAGGCCAGAAAAGTCAATGTTTGAAGAAAGAACAGAGCCCGACCTTGGTTTTGGGGCTCAGGGTGTCCCTGCACCCCCTGATGCAAAGGGTGCTGAGCTCCCTCCTCCCTGGCTGGGGCTGGAGGGAAGGGCAGGGCTGGGGGGACCTCACTTTTGTACTGACACATACCGTGTTGTTGGGGTATATTAATTGTTTGGTGTAAATCATATTTTAAAATATTCTCATTTTAATTCTGTAAATGTAGTTTTCCAGTGAGGTCCCTGAGCAATTAGGCAGAACTTTCAATCTCCCTTCCTGAACAGGGTTTGGGTTCATCCTGCCAGGGAGCTTTCTGCCGCCTCGGCTTTCTGTCTTTTCAGACTCTTTTGATAGATTCCTTGCAAGGATTTGTTTACCAGGTTCTTAATCTCTACTTAGCAGATAGGTTTTGAGAGGATTTCTTGTTACTCTTGTAATGGCTTTTAACTCTGCTGAAGTTTATTTAACTAAACAGAAAGAAAGAAACTTATCTTCTAAGTAATCCTTCTTGATTGTTTACAACATAATGCCAAACTTAAATGCTGTTTAGAGTGGTAATTGTCTGCCTTTCGCCTCTATTCTAATACATAGTTTGTAAAGATGCTTAGAGCATATTAATTTAAATGATAATACTGTCGTATAACATGAAAAGTTAAGTTGCTTATCAGTATATTTTGATAAGCTACTTACATTTTACAGTAGCATTTGCAGGCTTCAAACAAACGTTAATGATGGAGTGCCAGTCGCTTTATCTGTCCCATATATAGCTTCTCACTTCATTTATTACTGAAGCTGTACAGTTAGGAACCGTGGGGCACTCAATTCTTTATAGTTGTCAGGATGTAGTCATATTTTATAAAACTTTAAATCCTGTCTAACTATATCAAAATAGAATCCATTTGCTTCAGAGCATCTGTGATTAAAAGAAGAGCCCGTTTGTGCGTCACAGGGACTTGCTTTCCCATAGGCTGCAGCTGAGGGGACATTCCTTGGCGGTGTTTGAAAAGAAATTCAAATAAAGGGCTGTGTCATGAAAATGGGTACAAAATCATACCAAAGCATACTGGAGTGAAGTGTAACCTTTTAGCTCTCTGTCTTATTTTATGGAATGGAAATGTAATGTAAAAGAAAAAGATGTGATTTTTTTTTTTTTTCCTGCATGTTTGTATTTTAAATTTGTTTCTTTATTACTTTTGTAAGTTGAGTGCAAGTTTACTTAAGGTGAAGTTCTATTTGACCTAACTAAAGGCTGGACTAAACACTGTGATAAAGGACGTGGAATAAGATTTGACAACAGTTAAAAACTGTTATTGGTGATGCAATTTTAAAAATCCAGTTGTATCAGGATTCAAACCCAAACCTGTCCATCTTCACTTCACTAGGAGCCCAGCTGTACGGGAGGCGGGTTATTCAACATACACGTTGGGAAATAATTGCAATTAAAAATGTTCCACTGTACATTAGCATAGATCCATTAGTATATATTTATCTCACAGGTTAAAAGCTTCCATTGGATGGTGTTTGCTATGTCTGGAGTGAGAAGGGGGGTCATGTCCCAGCACTGCCCTGCCTGACACCCCACTCTGTTCCAGCTGGTGCCACGTTTGGCTGGGAGCGCTGGGGAAGGGTCAGTGCTGCAGCTTCCTTCTCAAAGGGATGCTCCAGCCTCTGCTCCTTCAAACACAAGGGCCCATGTGACTTTCCTACAGACACTTTCCAAGTGTCAAGTCCAGTGGAGGCTGTTGATAGTAAAGACCAACAATCTTGGGTTTATTAACTGAGATTTAGCAAGTTAAATGTATGCTTTTTCTTTCTTTCTTTCTTTTTTTTTTTTTAGTTACCTCCCATGGTTTGAAGTCTTTTATAAGCTGCTCAATGTCTTGGCAGATTATTCAGCAAAAGGACAGGTATTATTCTAAAGTACTAACCTTTCTTTTCCCTGCCCAAATATCAGATGGGGGAGAGATGATGAACACAAGCTGTTGTTAGATGTGCTTATATTGGAGATAATCATGTGAATTATTAATCTGTGTGATGCAGTGATATATAAGATAATATTCAGCCAAGCTGGAAACTTGGCAAGCGCATTTGAGAAAAAAAGCTTTTAAATCTTTTAAATTACTTTTGGGAAAAGATAAAGTCCAAGAATGTGACTGTGGATCCAGCAGAAGTTAGTGGTTTCCCTGCAGTCACCCATACTGTGCAGACTTTTTTGTTACCTGAACTGCATTCGGCCCGTCCGCACAATTCCCCTGTCGCAGGGTGTCCTGACGGACAGATGTCAGTCACGTGCACTAAGTGTAGAACTAAGCTTGTTCATGCAAAATGCTTACCCACGTAGCATCAGCTGCCTGATTACTTGGTGGTAATAATTGTATTTTTCACTTGTCAGAATCATTGACACTCGAGGTGGAAGCACTTAGGATCACATCTTCATCTAGATGGATTAGCATATTAATTTAAATGATAATACTGTCGTATAACATGAAAAGTTAAGTTGCTTATCAGTATATTTTGATAAGCTACTTACATTTTACAGTAGCATTTGCAGGCTTCAAACAAACGTTAATGATGGAGTGCCAGTCGCTTTATCTGTCCCATATATAGCTTCTCACTTCATTTATTACTGAAGCTGTACAGTTAGGAACCGTGGGGCACTCAATTCTTTATAGTTGTCAGGATGTAGTCATATTTTATAAAACTTTAAATCCTGTCTAACTATATCAAAATAGAATCCATTTGCTTCAGAGCATCTGTGATTAAAAGAAGAGCCCGTTTGTGCGTCACAGGGACTTGCTTTCCCATAGGCTGCAGCTGAGGGGACATTCCTTGGCGGTGTTTGAAAAGAAATTCAAATAAAGGGCTGTGTCATGAAAATGGGTACAAAATCATACCAAAGCATACTGGAGTGAAGTGTAACCTTTTAGCTCTCTGTCTTATTTTATGGAATGGAAATGTAATGTAAAAGAAAAAGATGTGATTTTTTTTTTTTTTCCTGCATGTTTGTATTTTAAATTTGTTTCTTTATTACTTTTGTAAGTTGAGTGCAAGTTTACTTAAGGTGAAGTTCTATTTGACCTAACTAAAGGCTGGACTAAACACTGTGATAAAGGACGTGGAATAAGATTTGACAACAGTTAAAAACTGTTATTGGTGATGCAATTTTAAAAATCCAGTTGTATCAGGATTCAAACCCAAACCTGTCCATCTTCACTTCACTAGGAGCCCAGCTGTACGGGAGGCGGGTTATTCAACATACACGTTGGGAAATAATTGCAATTAAAAATGTTCCACTGTACATTAGCATAGATCCATTAGTATATATTTATCTCACAGGTTAAAAGCTTCCATTGGATGGTGTTTGCTATGTCTGGAGTGAGAAGGGGGGTCATGTCCCAGCACTGCCCTGCCTGACACCCCACTCTGTTCCAGCTGGTGCCACGTTTGGCTGGGAGCGCTGGGGAAGGGTCAGTGCTGCAGCTTCCTTCTCAAAGGGATGCTCCAGCCTCTGCTCCTTCAAACACAAGGGCCCATGTGACTTTCCTACAGACACTTTCCAAGTGTCAAGTCCAGTGGAGGCTGTTGATAGTAAAGACCAACAATCTTGGGTTTATTAACTGAGATTTAGCAAGTTAAATGTATGCTTTTTCTTTCTTTCTTTCTTTTTTTTTTTTTAGTTACCTCCCATGGTTTGAAGTCTTTTATAAGCTGCTCAATGTCTTGGCAGATTATTCAGCAAAAGGACAGGTATTATTCTAAAGTACTAACCTTTCTTTTCCCTGCCCAAATATCAGATGGGGGAGAGATGATGAACACAAGCTGTTGTTAGATGTGCTTATATTGGAGATAATCATGTGAATTATTAATCTGTGTGATGCAGTGATATATAAGATAATATTCAGCCAAGCTGGAAACTTGGCAAGCGCATTTGAGAAAAAAAGCTTTTAAATCTTTTAAATTACTTTTGGGAAAAGATAAAGTCCAAGAATGTGACTGTGGATCCAGCAGAAGTTAGTGGTTTCCCTGCAGTCACCCATACTGTGCAGACTTTTTTGTTACCTGAACTGCATTCGGCCCGTCCGCACAATTCCCCTGTCGCAGGGTGTCCTGACGGACAGATGTCAGTCACGTGCACTAAGTGTAGAACTAAGCTTGTTCATGCAAAATGCTTACCCACGTAGCATCAGCTGCCTGATTACTTGGTGGTAATAATTGTATTTTTCACTTGTCAGAATCATTGACACTCGAGGTGGAAGCACTTAGGATCACATCTTCATCTAGATGGATTAAATACATTTGGCTTGACCCTAAGCCAGTGAGTTCTTACAAAGAACTTGCAGTGGAACTGGCTTGCTCTGAGCTGGGTCACTGGGTTGTGCTGGGGCTGGTGATGCAGGAGGTTACAGAAATACGTAGACATACGTATGAAAAAAAAATATTCTAAAAAAAATTATGTATAAAACCCAGCTGTCAGAGGAAACTAGGTTCGTTTCTCATCATAGTCTAATGTATAAAACTATTTTCACATTTTTCTTTATACTTGCAAGTTCTCTAAGCCCCCAGTTCCACAAACATTGCCCCTCTGTCTTGGAGTTTATATTGTTATAGCAATGCTGACTTAGTATGCATTTTTTAAAATTTATTTTCTCCTTATTTCAGGATAGTCAAAGGAGTGAGCTCCTAGAAACACTTCATAAACTTACCATCCCTGAGCCAGGAACCTCTGTTCATCTTGGAGTGGTAAGTAAAGGGGCAGAGATGTAAACTAGGGTGTTTAATTTTCATTACGTATCAGGATAGAGGACTGTCAAAAGCAATTCTCCTTTTTGGAACTTGGGTCACAGGTGGTGTTTTCCTGTGAGGACGCAGAGCTGTGAAATTCCCCCTTTCATATTTGGGGCCCTCTGTTTCCCTTTCCTTAACCTCAAATATCTTTGAAATGCTGTTCCTTGATGGGAGGAAGGTTCTGTATATTCCCTGTGGAAATTTCTCCCTGTATCGGCTGTGACCTGCGAGAGGTCACAGAGCAGCAACGTGACATTTATTGTCCACACTTCTGCAGAGCTCCTGGATCTTACAAGTATGTAGGGGGACAAGACTGGAGAGCAAACAGTCACATACCTGTTGTAGCAGTGTTCTGAGCACTGTTTATCACATTTTCTGGTTCCTTCTCTTCCTCCCAGCCCAAGAAAAAAACTCACACAGAGAAGGATTTATTTCATTTTTATATCTTGTGAGAAAATTAAAGACTACTGAAAGAATAGATGTGGGATTTTACTGATGGGATTGTATTTTCAGTTTAGTCTTTTGGGTTTTTTTTCTTTTCAAATAAATTTTTGCAGAACAACCTTGTGTTCCAGGCTGTAGTGAAGAAACACTGAAGATGCACGTTGCTGCAGTTGCCAATTAGTCATTTAGAGCTCACATGAAAACTAGTGGTGTGTGGAGCCCCGTTCTCCCTCTCCTTTCCTTTACTCCTTCTGAAGTACTTTTTTTGGCAGCCAGCAGCTTGCTCTCATCACCTCACCCCGAAACGTCACTCGAGAGGTGGCTGTTTGGCCTGGCGGGGTCACCAGCTGGTGGTGGCAACGTCCCCATCCTCCTGAGGCCAGCTCCTTGAGGAGCAGTGTGTGTGTGTGAGGGGCCGAGCTGGCTCCAATGGCAGTGATCCGTTGGGATATTTCGGTTTTTTCGTACCAGCGGTTTCCAGGAATGCTGCTGGTCTCCCCTCGTCTCAGACATTTCATGGGCCATGAAGCAAGAAAGGACATAAAAATAGCAGGGAAGGGCCTGTGAGCTGTGGTGTCGTTCCCGTTTTATTTTGGCTGTTTACAAGGCTATTCTGGGGTTGGGGTGAGGTCCCTATACGTGCTATAGTTGTCTATACTATTCCTGTATTTTTGCACTGCATCTTTTCAACCGAACTGAAACAGCGATATATCAAAAAGCAAAAACTTGTTTATACGTTTAGTGTCTATACATTTAGTGCCTATATTCAGAGTAGCTGTTAAACCCGCTTGCTATTTCGGGTTATAGACTGTTCGTGAAGCACTGGGATGTCTGAGATATATATACAAGGAAATTGTGCCAGTTGTGGAACTCTGCCAAGAATGTAACAGCCTTTAAAACTTCAGCAAGTAATTAATAAGTAGCCCCAAGACAAATTGCAAAAAATCTTAAAAAATAATATAAATTGTATACAGCTTTGATTTACGAAAGCAGTTTAGGCACATTCTCTCCTTTCCTTTCCCAAAGCCCTAACCAAGAATCATGCGAATCATGCGTGGTCAGATCGGGAACTAGAGTGAACCCGGTCTCTTGGAATGCAGACAATTAAAAAATGTAGTGATATGATGGATTATGAAGTTGTGAGACCAATATAGTCTTCCAAAATGTGGTTTTTAAGGTGTATAATAGTGACCAGGTAAGTAGGCATAAAACTTCAGGAAGCATTTCTCAGTAAATTTCCATAACTCCACCGTTGTCCTGGGTGAAGCTCAGTGTTGCTGTGGGTCAGGACGGGACCCGCTGGCTCCCGTTTCCCTCCGTCCATCGTGCAACCGGCAGCTGCAGAAAGATGGCTTGGATTATAGATTGCCTTGGAGTTCCTTGGCATGTGCCATACCTTGTGTGAGTCTGGCTGTGTCAGCGTCTCTGAAGAACAAAAAAATGTAATAGAGATTTTCAGGAGCATTTGATACTTTCTCTCGTAACGCATTCGGTATTGCATGTGTGATCTGAGGATCCAGCTTTTGAAATCCGTGGCAGAGAAGTCACACTGGTAGCTGGTAACAAATGTTCTGTCATTTTTACTTAGCTGTGTGGCTGCTATTATTGCTGTTACTAATACCAAGCAATAAATTTAGATTGCTTTTGACAATATTGCAATAATCAATATATTCTCTTTTTTTTAGCACTCTTACTTTACTGTGCCTGACATCAGAGAGCTTCCCAGTATACCCGAAAATGTGAGTACTCGGAGGACCGTGCACTTCACTGCGTCTGTTTAATGTCTGTAGCAAAATAGACAACAATTGTTACCTCTGTTTGCCCTAGTAATAGATTATGTTCTTAAAACATTGCTAGATGTTGACATGAACTTTAGGTGGTTCACTTAGAAGTATTGGGCAGAAAATATGTCGCCAACTGCAGAAATACATGAGTAACAGGCCTTTTGGAGTACAACATAACATAGAATTTAATGTTTGCCATTTTACTTAAGAAAAGATGTCAAATGAACAGGAAATTGACAGCATCATTATCTTAAGATATTTTAAAAATATAAAGTTTTAAGCTATTATTACTAATTTATTAATATGCTTATTATTTCTTACTGTTAACAGTAAGTTATTATTATAATTATTATTTTCTTAAATTGCAATTATTATTATAATTACTTATTGTTAACATTCCATGATTTCTTGGCTCTAATAAGTGAGGAAATTCAATATACATATCTATAGTTTTAGCCTACAGGAAATTGGGAAGGAGCAGTGATTTGGTAACTGGATGCAACGCTGTGGTGGCGTTTCAGGCAACAACGATGGGCCTAATTTCTGTGAAACAAGCAGATCTGCTAATCAGACAGTGAGCCCCTTCTGAAAGAACAAGAGACCAGTAGAAACGATCCCTTTGTTAGATGGGTTTCTGAAAATGTCGAGCATTCCTGGTTTCTTCAGGGCCACTTTTTCAGAGACTTTTTAAGCCTCCCCAAGTTGTCTCGTGTGCCTCAGCCTGCCTCCGATTTCCAGCCAAATGAGAGGTCTGTGGGAAGACAATGCTGGCATTTGCTTCTCTTAAATACTCTTTAATATGCTCTGCTGTGTCTCTTAGCCAAATTTCTATGTCTGACGTCTCCCTTTTCTTTCTTGAACGTTTCGTGCTCTGCCTTAGCACCATATACCTCAATTTATGGCATGAAAGAACGGAAGAAAAGGGAATCATCAAGACATTTCATTTCATTTGTGGATGATTTGTATAGCAGATAACATTTGGGGCTTTTTGTTTCTGTTCTAAAACATAGTTGCCAGCTTTTCTGTGTTGTAGACTTTTCATACTGACACGTATCCTGTCAGTAAATTTAATAGTTGTGCTTTTTCTTCTGAGGTGCTTTATTTTTGTAGAAATACGATACATTGGGAGTAATTCAAGAATCAGTTCCTGAATCCAAACCAGCTATCAATTCAATCCTAATCCAGACAAGTTACTTGTTTATAGGGTTTATATTTTATGTTAATTTCTTTTACCCTCATCAGCTCAAACTTTAACAATTTTTGTTTGATAAACAACAAGGCCTCAAATCACCTGGAGAGCAAGGGTGGGAGTTTATTTCCATTTTGCAGGCTGGCAAATTGGAGGGCAGGGAGAAATGAGCTGGGAATGGTAAGAAAGCAGTGGCAGGGGTTAGAAGTAGATCATCTGCCTTGGGCCTGCTTTAACTGATAGGGGACAGCTTAGTAACACACCTCGGGGAATAAAAGTGGATGAAGGCTTCATGCAGTTAATAAATATATATGCCCGTATATATATACACACACACCCCCAAATTAAAAGAGCTAGGGCTCATTGTAAGGAAGAAAAATATTAAAAATCAAATCCATTGGTCTAATTGTTATGGCAGTTGACTCTTCTATTTCTCACGTGTTTAGTTTTTCTAATGAGTGTTGTGTAATTTTCTTACGAGGATTTTCTCTGTCAATACAACTTCCATATAGAATTGAGGCATATTAGGGAGTAATACAAGGACATTAAATGAGCATAAATCTTCATGGTTTTTAATCAATTGCCCTGATTTATTCACATTTCTACATATCTTATCAGTAATTATATTTTAAACCCATATTAGCAAAAGTATTAGTAGTGCCAAGCTTTGAAGATGTATGTAATGATGGATGGAGAGCTGCACAGAGCTCTGTTTGGAATGTTAACAAACTTCTTGGGACTATCTGAGTTTGTGTCAGATCAATATGTTTAATGAGTCATGAAAACATTTAGCGTGGACACTTTTACGTAACAGCTAAGCATTCACTTTTTCAAAAGATTGAAGTTATATGAAAGATTTGTAAGTGCATTGTGACTTCAGAAGTGAATTGGGTTCATTGCAGGAAATTCAGTGCAAGGCTGTCCATTCCTCTTGGGAGGGTGGAGAAGGAAACCTGACTCATTTTGAACATTGACATGTTCGAGTAGGAAATTCAGTGAAGTCTTGTAAATGAAGCCTTCAAGAGCAGACTAAAATAAGTGAACTATAAGCTCTATTACTATGTTTGGGCTGTGCTCTTTGCAGAGGAGAGAGCTTGTTTGTTTGTTCCTTCTCACTGAAGTACATGAGTTTTATTTTATTTATCTCAAAGGTCAGTGGGCATGTGCATTTACTGATATTAGATAGCAAATAATCAAATGGATAATTGATCTAGGGGTGGACTTTCAAAGGAGCATAAGGGAATTTTGTATGGACTCCTACTTAGTTTTGAGTGGAGTTGGGGATACCTGTTCCTTTATTTTATTTTAAAAATCCCACTTTTTACTCTCCCAAGAAAGGTTTAAATCCTAGGAAACAAAATACACAACAATTATACTGCAAATTGGAACGCTTTCATTTGTATTTATTTAACTCATTCATGGTTTTGTCACTTACGAGACATGTCTTTCAAAATACATGTGTAAGTCCCAATTTCATCTTCAAAGATGACAGCTTTCTTATAAATAAAACTTCGAGCTAACACGTGAATTTCCTCAGTATCAATACATTACCATACAGCCCACATGCTTCCCAGGTGTCACTGGCAATTTTCTGAGAGCAGAGAAGACTAAAACCTTATAAATCTTTCCCTCTGAAGGTACATTTGTGTGTCAAAGCCAGTATTTCTCTACAATAAACTCGATGAAAGAATAATTGCAAATCAAGTCCCGGTGTCTATTTTCCTCTCACCAGTGGATCCTGTTGCCTTGTAACCACATCCCCGCAGATGCCCCTCTCCATGTTCGGGCAGAACGTGGGGATTACGAGCACCTTTTGCCATGCCCCTAGTCTGGGTGGCATCAAAGGGAGTTCAGCACTACTTAAAAATTCTTTTAATTCACACTATTTGCAGTAATTGTGTCGTCATGCACTGTGTTTTGGCGTCGTGGAAAGATGGGTGAGAGGGGGAAGAAGAGTCGTAGAGAAGACAGCTTATGTTTAGACAAAAATATCATGCTAATCAGCACAGATGGGATGAGAAATACAGAAAAAGTACATGATAGTTTAATAGGTTTTTGGCAAAATGTGTTGGCTTTTTTTTTTTTCTTCTTTGAATATACCTGTCTGTGGCTACAGCTTTTCTGCAACAAAGACCTGAATGATTGTTTTATATTAACATGTTTGAAGCTAACCATAATGAGCTTAGTTTTTATCTGTCTATATACTGGTGTAAAAGTCTTCCAAAGACAATGCTTAATTTTCCTTCAGTTCTTTGTGTTTGGATGGCAAGCTGTGGAACATATTTTTGCACAGTATGAAGCATCTTGGCAGACTTTTCAGGCCAAGTATTGGTGGTTTTAGAGTTATCTTTGGATCTGTCAAAAGTGCTAATAGGCTTTGTTGAGCTTCTTTAAGTTTCTAAATCATATTTGCTTTTTGCTTTTCTGCACTTTTTTATTTAAGGATGATTAAGATTGCACTTGAATTCATGACTAATCTAATTTTGCTCTCACATGTGCTTTTTGTATAAGACTGTCTTTATCATATAGCAACCCTTTCATATCTGTAAGAAGCTATTTGAAAACAAATTCCCTAATTCAGCATTTTTTGGTGTATTACCTTTTCCTCCAAACCCAGCCCTCCCACCCCCCTTTTCTTAATTTCTGTGTTTTAAGAAGGGAGAATGTCTTCTACTAACAAAAAACTTTTTTTGTTTGCCTTGTGCTGTAAAAGCCTCTAGTCATAATACATTTTGATCAAGTTACCTGCATGGTGACTTTCTAGGATCACATTCTGGTGTTTCTTAGAAGATGTCTTAATTACTTAATAAATGCTGCATGATTCCTGCCACTGCAGGGTGTGCGCGGGGCGATTCCGTTGGTGAATGGATAGTGTTGGTGAATTTCAGTTATTTACAATAATTTTTACATAGGTACTTTTTAATATTCTGAGCAGCAAAAGCATGGAAGAAACCTGTGTTTCCTAGGAAGTGTCTGTGTAAGGTTCCAGCAGGTGTTACTTGTGTCTTGGTCTTTCTATCTACACTTTAAAGGCAGGTTCCAAATGTGCTTTGCTTACAATATTCTTCTACTGCAATTAGTTGTCTTTGTACTACATAAAAATACTGATCACTCAAGTAAAACTGAATGTTTGGGGGGTTTTTTGTTAAGGACACTTGCTTTTGTAATATCATGGATCAAAAATTATTTTCTTTCTTCCCAGAGAAATCTGACGGAGTATTTTGTAGCAGTTGATGTCAACAACATGCTGCATCTCTATGCCAGTATGCTGTACGAACGCCGCATCCTCATCTGCTGTAGTAAGCTCAGCACTGTAAGTAAAAGGCAGAATAATTTCTTCCGTTCATGGTACCTTTTAAAAAATAACAGTCATATATAGGAAATGACCTGATGGTCTCCACGTCCCCTCCCAACCTCAGCTGTGCAACCTCAGCTCAATTCTGTGGTTCTGTTAATGATTTTACTGAACTTATGTTGGCCTGTAATGCTCAAACGAAAAAGAGTGTTCTGGATACAGGAATTCTTGGCGTTGTTTGGTGCATAAATGTACAAACATTTATATCGTAGTGAAGTCCCTTTTTCATAATTTAGTTAACAGGAAAAAAAAATAGATGGTTCTGTCAAATGCATGTTCCAGTGACCTTTCTGGACCGAAGGAGTGGGCTAAAATACATTGACAATCCACATTTTTGCAGTTGTGTTTGATAAGGTATAGTCTTAATGCTACTTAGGCTCCATCAAGGGCCTCAGAGATGAAAGCTACTGAATGCTCTGGAGTGCTCTCTTCTTAAAATGGCTGGACATCAAAACAAGCAGACAGCTTGATTTAGTTCAAAGTTTTTTTGTTATGCATTTCAAGGTTTATCAGTCAATATGATTGTAATTTTCTTTATAAAAGAAAATGTTAAGTTTTCGTTCTGTTTGCTCTGTAAATGGGTATTGATTGCTTTCCTTTATGAATGAAGAGCATAAGATGGTTTAACTAATTTTGCTTTCCAGTGCTATGGACTAAGTACTGGAGCGAGCCGTTCTCAGACCCAAGCTTCCATTTCCATTCTGTGTGCTACGAACTCGTCTCTTCCGTATGGCCATGACCTACTTTGTGTTTGAGATTCATGGAATTGTAAATACTATTCGAGGCTGAAATTATGGACATAAAATCATGTAAGAGTGGTCTGTCGATACAGGGCAGAAAAAGGAAGGTGTAAGACTTGTACTTAATCTCATAATAACTATTACAGTATTGTTTTGAAAGGTAAGTGAAACTAGGAGAGTTAGAATCTCTGGGACCTATTAATAATTATTAAATGTTTACAATGAATCCCACATGTAACCAAAAGAATTTAAGTATTATAAAGTTTAATATCATAGAAAACTTGTAAAATCTTAGCTGTTGTGTCTGCCAAGTGTTCTGTGTCCTGCCTATTAAAATAAGGAAAAATGCATCCAGGCCTAGCAATTGAATAAAATGAAGAAGAGATGTGTTTATTTCAGAATTTAAAGAATAGTAAATTATCAGAGAGGAGGGAAGCAGGGAGCGGCTACCCAAAGCACTTCAAAATCTGTGTGGTTGGTTGGTTTAATCTCTCCCTTTGTGACAGAGCCTGGGAAGAAGAATTACTTACCTGTCACTTTGCCTTCCTTAATGAGCCATTTCACAAGTAGGGTTGTGTTTTCTTTCCCCTCTTTCTGCTATTTCTCTTGCTTTTGCCTCTGTCCAAGATAAAAGCGTGTCTGGTTCTTGGGTAGGGAGGGGTATTCATACTGTGTGTTCTTATCTTACAACTTTATATATAAACTGCTCCAAGACTGGAGTGACAGTGTAAGACAGGTTTGAAGCGTTGGGCCGGCGCCAGCGATTCCTCGCCCGCACGCTCCGCTCGGCGGGTTCCAGCAGTAGGAACAAGCTGCATTATTTTATTTCAAACTGTGCTCAGCGGAAGCCAAGACCTTGTAACTGGAAACGTACCAAACTGCGAATTCTCAGAGTAAAGTGAGGGTGGTGTGGTGCTGAGGGAGATGGGTTTCTTTGTTTTTATTTTTTAGTTTTTTTAACAAAAAAGTGGAAGGGACCTGCTTGCGGTTAATTTCTTTTAACTTTGGGAGACGTGGCACATTTCGTACTTAAGGCTGGAACTTAATATCAGGTAAGGGAGGGAAAAGTTAACAGTTCTGGATAGAAAGTCTTTTATGGTGGAATGAATTCTGTGCTACAATATATTGTATCAAATTCAAATTTTGATTGGAAATATCTTTAATGTAGTTAAAGATATTTGGATTGGAAATACCTTCAATAAGTTAAGTTGAACAAGATTTAGAGGTAACTGAATGAAGTTGTTTATTAGCTGGTGGGTTCCTGACGTGAAAAGCCAGCCTGTGACTAATACCTTTCACCAAACGTGCTCCTGATGCCACACAGCCAGAGCTCGTGCAGTTCTTGTTCTCCAGCAGTTTTCCTGTTTGGAATGTCCAAGCTCTCCCAGAGCTCTCTTGTCCTCGTCACCCGGCAGTGCAGGGGGAGACTCGTAGACAGGCTCTGCCACAGCCCTGCTGTCGCTGCTTAACTCTTCTGTACCTCAGCCTTAAGCTCTCTAATTCATTCTTAGCCCGGAGTAATGCAGAAAAATGACCTTACAAACACACAGAAGTGGTCATTTTCCTCAGTATATATTGCACGTCAGTGGGCACGAGCTGCACCTGTAACACTGCTGGGTGTGTGTCAGGAGAGAGAGTGAAATGCACTGGAAAATGGCCTATTGTAGTTCAACATCAGTTTGTAACTTTTACACGTGTGGCAAAATCCCATTGATTTAATTTCCTCAAATAAGGCTGTTAGAGTATTAAATACAGAACTGTGAAAACTGAATTAGTGAATCGGTGTCTTTCTGACACGGCTGTGTCTTACCTACTCTAGCAGCAGCTGCGGGAGCTGAGGTAGTGGAACTAATCTTATTTCAAAATGCTGGATTCCTATAGTTTTGACAGTTGGGCATTTCTCAGGCTGCCTTATTATTAAGTGCTTGTTTTCTGTATGGCAATCACTAATCAGGTGAGGTCTCCAGCAAATACACTATTTCTTTTTTATGAGCCCCTCTCTTGGCAGAGTTGAAGGACAGTGCTAGTGCTTACCCATGGTAGTACGGTATTTGAATTCGTGCCAGATAGCAAGGTTGGGAGTACAGCTCAAAAATAAGTGACAGGTTCTGCTCAGATGTCTGCAGTGTTGAGCATTATGTCTGTTTAATCTTTTCTTGCTGAGTTTTAAAACCAATGGGAGGGGGGCTTGGATGGGGCCTCCTTGGATTACTGAGTTCACTCCTCTGCAGCGGCAGCCATGTGATATAATAATGCCAGGAAATAATCCATTTGATCCTCATAGAAGCATTTTTAAAGTAAGAATTACATTTCTGCATAGTATTTTTTCCAGACATCTTTTTGATTTAGAGAACAGAAAACGTAAAGGATTTAGGAATATAGAGGAAAAACTAGAGTGGGAAAGCATGCCCCTTTCTTTCTGCTGCATGTTTTGGAACTGGCTGTGTCTTTCATCTAATCTGTGAGAGGAGCATCTTCTACAGTAGGAATAATATAAAGATAAGTTGAAATATAATGGGATGGGGATAAATCTTTAGTGTTTCCTCGGTCATAAAATAAATGTAAGATTTTGGAGCTTCTAACTTTTGGTTTAATCAGTGTCCCAACACACTAGTATTTCCATCCCATATGGACCGTAAAATACTGTTCCCCTGCAAATAAGGATCTATCTTCTTGAGAAAGACTGAGCAGGTTCTTGTTCAGACACTTGCTGTACCCTGTCTGCACCCAAGGACACTATTTCCTTAGGACGGTGGTTCAAATGTGGCTAAAATTCTTCCGTATTCTCACTTCGGGAAACGCGGTATCACCCTCTTGTTCTGACACTGGCCAAGTCCAGCTCCGGGAAGGTGGGGGGTGACTGTGGAGCTCCTGTGGGAGACAGAAGTAAAAATCTAAGGGAGAGTTTGAACCTTGAGGGTGAACAACTGGCTAAAAGGTTGAGGGGGAAATGGTGAGATAAATTATCAGTATTCCTAATCCGGGAGGTTGCTTTGTAGTCCACCAGCCCTCTACTCTGGAGCACGTTCAATGTCCTCATGAAAACCAGTTTTTTAAAAAAGGGGGAAAAGCAGTCATTTTGATGCATAGCATGGATAAATATGAAATAACTCTTCTGGAAGAAAACACTTCTAACCATGTAAGCAATCATGGTCTGAGTAACTGAAGTAATTATTACCACTCAGAAAGAGATACTGGAGGGTTTTTTTAAAAAGAGAGAGAGCGGTCTATGAAAATGCCAGCTTATTACTCAGTTGAAGGCTTAGAAGCCAAGAAATTATTATGAAGAGAATAGAGAACAAAAAGGAGGGCATAATGCCACTCGCTATGTTCATGGCTTGCTCACGTTGTGAATATTGCATGAGTTCTTACCTACTCCAAATAAACAATGTGAAACAGTGAAAAATGCAGAGAAAGGTAAAAAGAACAAGCAAATATACAAAATAATCTCTCAATTAGGGAGAGCAGAGCAGATTAGAGCTCTTTGCTCAGCCTGGGAAAGATAGTAAGGGGGTAGGGAACTTGATAGAGAGACAGAAAATCACGTGTGGCCCTTTGAAGATAAGTAGGAGATGATTTTTGTACTTATTGTCTCAAAATCCTCAAACCTCAACACACGTTAAAGCTGAGAGGAAATGGGCTCAAAATGAGGAGATGGGACAGCACTTTTCAGAGTATTTTCCCCCAAAATCCACCTTCCTTGGTGCATTCTTATTGCTTATCCAGATCTGTATTGTTTAAAGGCTTGAAAATAACACATACAATATGTGCCCGTCTTCCATCTTCTTGCCTAATGACCTGCTTTTTAATCAGAAAACCAGGTTCTGTTACTTCCAGAAACTGCACTGGAATTTCAGAAGTGCTTTGGTGTTGAACATAAACCAAACTGCATCCAGAGCTGTAGTTGATTTTCCCTGACACGGAGCCCTAAGAGACTGCATTAGCTCCTGGAGACCACTTTCTTTACCAGTCGTGGGTTCCCTGTGAAGGGGTGTATGATTCAGTAGTCTGTCTTAATGGAAATGAGTAATAATGAGGGTCATCATTATTTTTTTTTTTAATGTTACACCACATCTAACTGAATTAGGATTAATGGCATGATTTGTCTTTGCTTAGTTTCATCTCGCACAACTGCAGGCCACCACAAGGACCTCAGTCCTTTAGAATTTGTCTTTCTGGTACTTGTAAGCAGTGCTCTCCCTCCTTCCTATCGTCCAGATGAGCATTACATGCTTGATTTCATCCTGCCTTCGAGTAACTGGGAGGCTTTTGTGGAGTATTGGTTCCAAAATGTGTCTCACAAGTGAAACACGTTGTACTCCTTGTGTGGGGTGTCATTTGAGATTAAAAGACACTCTAAACTGGGAAACGCTGTCAGGGTGGCTGTGATTGCCTGTCACCTCTTAGTATTTTCCTTGTCTGTGTCTATTTGTACGAGCGCTCCGATTCATTTATTTATTTATTTTCTATTTTTCCAAGTGTGTGTATGTGTTCATATCCTCTTTTTGGGGTATTTTGACTAGAGCTTTTGCTGAGATTTCCTTATTGAGGATTACCACCTTCTCCATTTTAATATCCTTAGTGAATGTGACAAATATCCTGCTTATCTTCTTTTCCAAATTGTTAATTATAATTTGAAATAGGGTTGAGAGACGTAATTTCCTCCAAAGCTCTGTGAGGATTCTCCCCGTGGCTTGACTGGCACTTGTGTTTGCTATTTGTGATCGTTTTCAGTAGCTGCCAACTTCGAAACTATTCAGAATGAATTTTTAAATATATAAGTGAGAAATTCAACGGATCAAATGATTTGGTGAAGGCCAGAGTAGATAAAAATCCCTTTTAAATAATAGAAATGTAATCGCTGTTTTTAGTATGATCTATTCTTAAGAAAGGTGTGCCACTTGCATTGTATCTTCCTGAGCTCAAATATTTTTCCAGTTTGTGTTATAATTTCAATGCAGTTTTAGGGTATTTAATGGATGGTAATTACCAGGATTGGGGGATTTGCCTTCGCTATTTTTCAGTTCCCTTTGTGTTTTCATTTCCATGTTTCTGGTGCTTTACAGAACACTGGGTGTTCTTCTCAGGACTCATTTGTTGGATGAATCATGTTCTCAGCTGTTTACAAAATCAGTGGAATGACAACCACCATAAACCAGTCATGCTTCACCCACCAGTACCCATTTCTTTAATAAGAGCAGTGTGTATTTTGTAATAAAACATGTTGATATAAAAGCCGAATCGATTCTTTACTTTTTTTTCTTCTAGCTTTACCTTTTTAAGCTTGCATTTTGTCTTATTTATGATCCTGTTTTAATATATGTTTTTCAGTTAACTGCCTGCATTCATGGGTCTGCAGCTATGCTCTACCCGATGTTCTGGCAGCACGTTTACATTCCTGTTCTGCCCCCACATCTACTGGACTACTGTTGGTAAGGCTATATATATGTGTGTATGTGTATATATTATCTATATACTTAGATATCACAACAGTTTTCACATTTCTGCATAGAAAGGCTGAAGTCCTCTTATAATGCAACTGTTACTCTAAAAATACATAGGCATATTAAGGAAGCAACCAATCTAGTAAGTAAAAAAAATTATTTTCGTGGCGAGATATAATTGTCTATCAGGCTGTTGAAATACTCTGATGTGAGTGGTTACTATGGAATGCTGAAACTTAGATGTTGTGTAATTAAAGTCTGTATTCGGTGTATCTGTGTCAAATGTTAAAATTTGAATTAAGACTCCAACAGTAGAGGATACAGTGGAGAAGATACTCTCATTTTTCTGCTTTCCTGAACTTCTGCTGGGGGTGGAAGGGAAGCTATCAGTTTTCCTGCAGTGATCTTTTATTATCAGCGTGTGTTTAGAACATGATATTTACCTTACTAAGGGGAATGAATATAAACCTTTCAGAAACTTACTCATTATCACCACGTGCCAAACTTTGGCAACATCCTATAATGTGGAAGCTGGCCCTGTTTTGACTGGGGGCTTGGACCAGTTCCCTCTGGAGGTTCATCCCAACCCGTTGTGTGACTCCGCACTGTCCAGCTGCCCCTGGAGCTCCCCTTCCCTGTGGGCTCCAGCCTCCCCTGCTGTTGGGCCGTGTTTTAGTGGTTCAGAAGCTCATCTACAGAGCCCCTCAAAGAGTTTCCCAGGTTCTGCTTTCTTTTCTAGTGCAAAGTCAAACAGTTGGGCCTGATCCCAGCAGTTGGGCCTGATCCCAGCAGTTGGGCCTGATCCCCCGTTTGCTGTGCGGGGCAATAGTGGGCAATAGAGCACTCTGGGTAATTCACAAGGAGGAAGTTTAAGATGCTGCTGCTGCTGCTTTCACTTGCTCAGCTCCCAGTTCCTGTGTCCCACACACGGTTTGTGACTTGCCCTTGGTTTTTTCTTCCTTCTGCATAGCAGGAGGTGGGTTTGCCTGGAAAAAGTGGCCTTACCTTAGGCTTCCTCGAGAAGTTAAACTTTGGAGGCCTCTTAGAGAATTAATGGAGT